CCCCAGGCCCTGCCCCAGCCCCAGCCCCTTCAGCCCTGCTTCTCCCTAAAGTCACTCCAATTATCATTGATTGACTACTAAAAATAAGGTATCCATTGCTCATCAAATAGACTGGGATGCCCAATCTGCCTCTAGCATTGCTGACCTTCAGTACTGACTACCTGAGTCATCTTTTTCAATTATTGTACAGAATCCTATTTGTCCATTGTCCTATGTTAGAACAAAGAATCCATGCACCCTTTTTGTTGGGAAACATTAACTAATCAGGAGCTTCATATCAGACAGTTGTCCAGAATCCTACTCATCAGATTAGGTCCCAGTCCAAAACACTTTTGCATCCAGCAGTGGGTGTAGAAAACCTAAGTCTTTTGTTCAACAGTTAATGTACTCAGTCCCAATTGCCATAGCCTTGTCAAGGATGACGTTTGCCGTACTTCTGTGGAGTCTACTGTTCTCAGACAATGAAAGCACCAAATTGTAACTATATTGTCTCACCTACAATCAATGACCTTCCATAGCCTTTGCATTGCTACTAAGCAATGTTGGCTACCTGAGACCATGTTCCTTGAATAACTAATGAACAGAATTACAATGGTCAATACCCCTGTTCATGACACAAATTCTTTGCAACGTTTGACGATAACAGAGAAATGAACGCTGAAAACCCTTTACGTTGGAATGCTAATGGATACAATTATTACTATTCATGCTACGGCCTAGCAGATAAAACCCATAAAAGATCTTTTCATCACTCCTATGTGGTGGAAATATGTAAAACCTCATTGCCCAACAGTTGACGTGCATAATAACATATATCCATAGTCCTGTGCAATAAAAAGTGGAATCCCACCTTATTACACCTTCCACGATATTGCTAAGGAGTAAAGAATGTCCAAGAACTCACCTCGTGGGTAGTTAATATGCACAGCTGTGCTTGCCCAGAGTACTGACCAATTCAAACGTCCACTATGTCCAATTTGTATGCTATAACAAGAACCCAATACTCAAGGACCATTCTTTTCAAATAATAATACCTATATTTGTATTTGGTCATGTCTCAGATATCCACACCTACTCCCTTAGTATTCCATTAGGGGAACATTACTATTCAAACCTACATTATAACAATTTATGTGCACAATTTTAATTCACTAGTACTGAGCTTTGCATCAGGAACACACAAACACACTTACTTTATATATGAAAGGTGATAATAACTTAATGCCCTTATCGGAACTTTATCAGAACAAAATAACAGACCTCAAAGCCTCCTCAGTTCACCTAAATACCATGGGCACAGACTCCCTTTGTATTGCCACAGTGAATACTTGGAAAAGACTGCTTAAATTACACTATGGGCCTTCTGTAAAAATGGGACCCAATCAGCTTCACACTTTGCATCACCACAGTGAGTACATGGGACCGAATGTGCTTAAATGCCACTCTGATCCTTCCATAACAATGGGACGCAATCAGCTTCACACTTAGCATCAAGAACAATGAGTACTTGAGACTGAATGTGTTTAAATGGCACTATGGTCCTTACGTAAGATTGGGACCCCAACAGCTTAACACTTGGCACCATCACAGTGAGTACTTGGACCTAAGTACTTAAATGCCTCACTGGTCCTTACCTAACAATGGGAACACATCAGCTGCACACTTTGCATCACATAGTGAATCCTTGAGACCAAATGTGCTTAAATGCCAGCACGGTCCTATATAACAGTGGAACACCATCAGCTTCACACTTTTACTACCACAGTGAGTACTTGGGACCAAATGTACTTAAATGGGACTATGGTCCATACGTAACAAAGAGACTCCATGAGCTTCAACTTTGAATCACCAGAGTGAATCCTTGCGACTGGATGTGCTTAAATGCAACTCTGGTCCTTCCATAACAATGAGACTCCATCAGCTCCACACTTTGCATCCCCACAGTGAGTACTTGGGACTGAATGTGCTGAAATGCAACTATATTCCTTACGTAACAGTGGGACCCATTAGCTGCTCACATTGCATCACCATACTGAGTCCTTGGGACCAAATGTGCTTAAATGCCAGCACGGTCCTCAATAACAGTCGAACAGCATCAGCTTCACACTTTACCACCA